CTGTGGTGCATGCCTGTATCCCTGCAGCTGGGAAGGCTGAGGAAGGAAGAACACAAGTTCAAAATCAGCCTCAGTAACTCAGCAAAGTGCTAAGCAACTCAGTGAGACCCTGTCTTTAAATAAAATACAAAAAATAGGGCTGGGATGTGGCTCAGAGATACTTGGCCACTGAGTTCAATGCCCAATAACCCCCCCCAAAAAAAATACAAACAATAATAAATGATAGACTGTAGAGACAAAAGGAACACTTTTGCACTGTTGGAGGGACTGTAAATTAGTACAGCCACTATGGAAATCGGTATGGAGGTTCCTCAAAAGACATGGAACCACTATATGACCCAGCTATACTACTCCTCAGTATTTACTACTGAATTAGTATTCATACTGCAGTGATACATATCCATGTTTATAATAGCACAATTCGAAACAGCCAAATTATAGAATCAGCCTAGGTGTCTAAGAATAAGTGGATAAAAGAAAATGTGGTGTATGTACTCAATGGAGTTTTATTCAGTAATAAGAAAAATGTAATTATGTCATATGCAGGAAAATGTATGGAATTTGAGAACATTATGTTAAGCAAAATAAGCCAAACTCAGAAGTCAAGAGTCACGTATTTTCTCTCATATGTGAAAAAGAGGAAAAAGGAAAAGAAAAGTGGGGTGGGGGATAGGGGCTGTAGCTCAGTAACAGAGCGCTTGCCTAGCATGTGTACAGCACTGAGTTCAATACTTAGCACCACATAAAAATAAACAAATAAAATAAAGGCATTCTATCCATCTGCAAGTACAAAAGAAAGTTTTTTAGAAAATGCTTACAAGGGATGTCTCACATTCATTTTATAGCTAAAGTCAAGTCTCAAAAAAGCATAGCTAACTGTCCCACATTTATACAACCATAAGTAGCAGGACCCTGATACCCTGATTTGAACCCAATTTTTCTGACACCTAAGCACAGCCCTTTCCATCAAATATGCTGCCTTCCTACTTCAGCAAATGTCTCTTAGAACTAGCCCCTCCTGTTATCACTGCCACTGCCTTGTTTCAGAGCCTTACAGAGATCACAAGAGTTCCTAACTGGTTTCTTCATTACATTTAGCCTTTCAATTGCTGTTGGAATGATTTTTTTAAAAAGAAAAAATCCTGTCAACTCTTCTAAAATCCATCAGTGGTTCCCATCATCGCTAAGCAAAACTCATAAGGTCACACACATCTATTCACAAGCAGGCTCCAACCCACCATTGGACCTCAATGCTGTGGAAGGAAACCAGTTGTAACTGCTGCAGTGTTTGCTGGGACCATTTCTCATCATGTCCCACACCTCCAAAAACTTCTGGAAAATTCTCATTCTTCTATTGTTCAAGACCAAGTTCAACTGTTATTTTGTAAAGCCCTTCCGGACTCATTCAGACAGAATTAATGCACCCATTTTCTCCATATCCATATCACTTTGATAAGTTCATTCACAGGAGAGAGTGTTGAATGCATGTCCCACATATAAGAGCAAATTTCTAGATTACCTAGCACATTCAGGATTTGATCCCCAGACCAAGAGTGTCTGGCTCACGTTAAAATCTTACTTGAGGCCGGTGCAGTGGTGCCCACCTATAATCCCAGTGGCTCAGGAGGCTAAGGGAGCAGGTGAAGATTCAGAGCCAGCCTCAGCTATTTAGCTAGGTCCTAAGCAACTCAGGAAACCCTGTCTGTAAATAAAATACAAAAATGGGCTGGGGATGTGGCTCAGTGGTTGAGTGCCCCTGGGTTCAATCCCCAATACCAAAAAAGAAAAAAAATCTTACTAGAATGAATTTTCCAAATTAAAATCTTTTCATACCTCACAAGTAACAAAGTACGACAACATGCAATTTGACACTTTTTTAAAAAATGAAATTTACAAAACTGATTTGTTCCCATTCATTTTTCAAAATTCTCTGTACATTTCAATTTTAAGAAAACCTCTAACACTTTAATCCACACTACTTCTCTAAACAACAGACATGATAGAAAGACCTATTTCTTTGTGTCCTATAACATAAGTTTGTTGAGTAAATAAATACAACCTCTGGCTTAGCATAAAACTAAACAAAATGAGTCTACATGGACTGGGGTTATAGCTCAGTGGTAGAGCGCTTGCCTAGCAAGTGTGAGGCACTGGATTCGATTCTCAGCACCATATCAAAATAAATAAAATAAAGGTATTGTCTCCATCTACAACAAAAAAAACTATTAAAAAAAAAAAAAAAAAAACAGGGGGCTGGGGATGTGGCTCAAGCGGTAGCGCGCTCGCCTGGCATGCGTGCGGCCCGGGTTCGATCCTCAGCACCACATACAAACAAAGATGTT